TTCCATATAACTCCAACGCCTAAGCCTGCGGTAGGGTATGTATTAAGCATTTCTATGGGTAAAAAGGGTATTTTAATAAGCTACGTGAATTGTTGTGAACAATTTTTGTTGAAAACTGGAGAGTCAGCGGTGCAGACTCACTAATTTGCCCCAATAAACATGAACATAATGCTATTAGCTTGTCCCGACTTCAGTTCGGTTTCCCTTTACACTAAATTAACGTTTTTATTCTTTACACTTACTTGCAACGAGGTTTTGGGGAGCCGATTCCGATCCTTGCCGTTCTTTTGCATGCTGTAAACACTCTCTGCTATCATTGAGGTAGAGGTTTAACCTTATTTCTATTTCATCACAAAATTTAATATAAATTCTTATTTCATTTATATGTATCCTTATTTTAATATTCATACTTATTTCATTATCTTTTTCTTTCTTTCTTATGTTCTATTTTCATTGTAAAAGTTTGTAAATGTATATATAATAGTTATGTTTTTATTTATTTTTAAGCATTTAACTGCTAGATGTTTAAATCTAAAGAAAAGTTTACGACGGGACTCGAACCCGCACCCTTCGCAATCCGGGCGAATGCACTGACCATTATGCTACCACGGCCCTATTGGCCGCGTCGAAATTTTTCTAACCTTAAGCTGCAAGGCAGCGCCATCTCTTCGCATTGTAGGTAACCCACAATGTCAAATGAATACTTTTCCAAGTATAAAACATTTGAGAGAAGAAATAGCAATTATAGTTATGTTTTTATTTATTTTTAAGCATTTAACTGCTAGATGTTTAAATCTAAAGAAAAGTTTACTAGAAAAAAAATCCACGCGGACCAGGCAGCGGACGGGACTCGAACCCGCACCCTTCGCAATCCGGGCGAATGCACTGACCATTATGCTACCACGGCCCTATTCTCTGCCACAGCGCCATCTCTTCGAATGTTTTTTTTTTCTAGAAAACTTTTCTGTATATAAAATATTTAATAATTAACTAAAAAGGAGGATAAAATGTAAAAAGAAAAAATCTGTGTATACATTCTATTGGTTAAAATTAATTAAAATCATAAACATAAAATAATAATCAGTTAAAATTGTATAAATAAATTGAATTAGTGTTAATTGGATTGGAAAAAAAAGTAAATAAAATATTGTATAGTCTAGAAATATTTAATCATTTATTTAATTAAATTATGTCCCATTTTGACGTCCCACACTTGACATCACCGTTCTATAGAATTTCTCGATCGACTACCTTTATCTGCTCTCCTTCCTCCATCAAAACATAGAGGGTCGAACAAGACATCGTCGATCAGATCATTTCAAAATCGTTGCGGGCAATCGTCAAACAAGATGTGCTCTACTGTCTCATCTTCCCTCTCTCCACAGGGACATAGAGGGCTGCCAGCCAACTTGAATTTTTGGAGATACGGGCGAAAACCTCCACGGCCGATGAGGATCTACGTGTCGCGGATTAAGTGTTTCCGTGATTCAAATATTTTGAAGGTTTAATGGCCGCCTCTTTCGCCAGCTCGTTCGCCCTCTCATTATCGGCTTAGCTGATGTGCGCCTTGATCCTACACAGACTGACCATCCCCCGCCCCTCTCGATGACCATCCCCCGCCCCTCTCGATCTCCATGAGCACGTATTTTATTTTCGCGCCCATGGGTGACGAAGCGGGATCGGAAATCAGTTCGAGGGCCAGCCTCTCGGTCATTAGCCTAAGTTCCTCGATGATCGCCATAAGCTCAGCCTGGAAAACGCTACAGTATGGTGCTAGAAGGATCTTTGTTTTTGCCACCTCGGGATAGTAACGAAGTAAGTAACTAAAGAACCCTCGGAAGAAGAAGAAGTAAGGGGGGCACCCCTGGATTCAGGGGTGCCCCCGTGCCAAACGGTTCCGACTTTCCCCTCTATCTTGCTCCTATCTATATAAAGATGGGGCAAGTTGATGTCCAGCTCCCGCAGTTCCTTTTACTTTCTTGTTTGATATCAGTACAAGTATAATTCTACGTAAATCTATAAATCCACGTTCATTTACCATTGCTTGGTTCTAAAATTATTTTTAAAGCCGGCCAAGCGTGTGTATAATAATTTATGTCACTGTTTATGTTTTCTTCTAAGGAATTTTCAATAGTTATAAAATTTTCTTAACCAAAGTTGAACGATTATTACTCCTTAACTAACAATTCTATCTTTACTGTTAAAGTTTACCTTAAAAAGTTCAGAAAAAGCACTATTATCATGAATTTTTCCAGGGTTTTCAAGCCTAAAGTTTAGCTTTTAGAGGGGAGATGCCCTACTCAAACAAAAATTAGCACTTTAAAGTTCAATATTTCGCAAACGGATCTGTTAATCTAAAAATAGGTTTAGAAACCTTGAAATAATTTTAAAGGCTCTATTCAACGACATCCCACACGATGGGGTAGATGATGAAAAAAAAATCATCATCATCAATCATAAATCATTCTCAGGTTACATGTAGGGGAGCTACCCTAAATAAAATATTTTCTAAATTTTATTCTACCATTTTTTCGGCGTGATTTATGTTCATATATCCAGAAAATTACAGCTCTCTAGCGCTAATAGTCTTTAAGCAAAACCGGGGACGGGCAGACGGTCATGACGAAATTATAAGGGTTCCTTGTCAGGACTACGGAACCCTAAAAAGTGTAAATATTATTATGTTTCTCTGTGTATTTGTCAATTATAGCACTAACATGCAATTCGTGTCGATTAACTTTTTTTCTGCAATGTTTGTATATAATTATCAGCAGCAAGACAATATATTCATGCTATTTGAATAGTTAATCAGAAGTCGGTCAGAATCTTCTAAACAACGAAAACAACTTTTGCTTTCTATTTTGAATGGACAAACATAAGTACATTAAAATAACATTTAATATTATTCAGTTGTGCAAAACATATTCCATTTCCAAATTATAGAGAAAGTAGAAAAGTCCCACCTCATTCCAATGTTTATACAAACCTAATAAAAGGTAAGCAGGAAACTCGCTCATTAAGTGAGTACGCAGTAACAGTCTAAATGTTAGTCAAAAGACAAAAGCTTTGCTTAGTTTATCAGATAGACAAATATGTGCCGTACCCATTCAGACCGTCGGGGTACTCTTTGAAAGGACTTGTGACAATTGAAGCAGATGCACACCACCGGGTCGTTACACATCTGAATTTCTAGGAGATCACAGCTTACAAAGAGGTTATTTTCGTTTCTGGAAAAGTTTTCAGTATTTTGTTAATTAAAATTGGCCTTTAAATAAAAGGTTTTTCTGGTTTCTGTAATGGATTCACACAAAGATACTCATTTTCGAGTGTGTATAAAAACCTTGCTATTGTAGCGAAACAAAAACATTCAGGATTATTTTAAAATACTAGTCGTAGCAGACATATCAACTCTGAAAGGAATCGTCACCGTAGCAACTCGAGCCGCGCAGTATTAACTGTATGAAAATCCCTACTGAAACGCTCACTAATCGGAATCGTAGCATAATCGCCTTGCCTCGGGATAAACTTTTCTAACATAAGGAGTCAACTCTCCGTAGCTTAGCTTACGTCTCTCCGTAGCCTAGTTAATGTCTTTTCGTAGCCTGGCTTACGACTCTAAGTAGTGACCACATCGTACTCTTTCTATGATTGCTCGAACTTGTGCCGGCTGGCCACCGGCGAGCCGTAAGCGCGGTGTCACCTTGCCGTAGCCGATCCGAACGTACCGGAGCTGCTTATTCGTTTAAGTTACATACTTACGTTAGGTTGACGCCTGTTTGACAGCAATCCAAAAGGCGAGTCGGAGTCGATCCCTTTCCGAGTTGATATGTGTGCTATGACGCTTACTCACGCGTTACTTACTTTAACCCCATTCCCAACCCCTTTGATGGAAAGTTATTTAGCGATAGGAATACAACACTGTTATTTTAATTAGATATATATGTTAGATAGTAAACTATGGTGGGTAAAGGAAATAATGATATAGTAGGATATACCCTACCTCTCTTAAAGTTATAATATATTTGTCATACTCTATTGAATTTCATTACAAAAAACTATTTCAGTTCTTCTTATATCATTCGGTATTCTGGCAAAGTTTATGATGTAGCTTTGGCTATAAAATTGGTAAACATAAAAAAGTTCTTCCTCGGATGGGAATTAATGGTACAGGTAGTCCGGCGGGGAATCGATCCCTGCCCGCCTGCATGAAAAGCGAGCTTTCTATCACTAAATCACCGATGCTTATTAATTAACAAGGTCTGAATTATTAACAAGAATTTAAAAATTTAATGCTTTATACTAATATTATTAGAGCTGAATGAAAACAAAATAGTGACGAAAAAAAGTAAAAGTTTCACTTTAAAAAGAAATAAATTATGGATGTTGGTACATACCTGCACCGGGCAGCCAAGATGGCTTTGACCCCACACACGGGCTCCCTTGTGTCGCCGACCAGGAAGGAGACGTCACACAGCTCGAGCATCGAGGCGAGAAACCTCATGTCCTCAGCCAGCCTCGACTTGTTCTCGAAGAAATGTATAGACATACCTGCTGTGGGCAACCAGGACGGCTTTGACCACACACACGGGCTCCCTAGTGTCGCCGACCAGGAAGGTGACGTAACACAACTCTGGCATCGAGGCGAAGAACTTCATGTTCTCAGCCAGGTTCGACTTGTTTCGAAGGAATGTATCGCCATACTTACTGCGGGCAACCAAGACGGCATTGACTGCACACACGGGCTCCCTAGTGTCGCCGAAGAGGAAGGCGACGTCACACAGCTCTGGAATCGAGGCGAGGAGCTTCATGTGCTCAGCCAGCCCCGACTTGTTCTCCAAGAAATGGATGGCCATACCTGCTGCGAGTAGCCAACAGCTTTGACCGCGAACACAGGCTCCCTCGCCGTCCAGAAAGGTGACGTCACACAGCCCTGGCATCGAGGCGAGGAACTTCATGTCCTCAGCCAGCCCCGTCTTGTTCTCAAAAAAATAAAGCCATACCTGCTGCGGGCAGCCAAGACAGCTTTGACCGCACACACGGGCTCCCTGGTGTCGCCGACCAGGAAGGTGACATCACACAGTTCGGGCATCGAGGCGAGGAACTTCATGTCCTCAGCCAGCCCCGACTTGTTCTCGAAGGTGCTGAGGTCAGGCTCCGCCTCCATAGCCGCTAGCGCCCCGCTTCGCATTGACGACTGTTAAAAAAAGAGGCATTAATAATGAAATTAAATGAAATCTCACTACATAAAAAACCTCAACAAAAAAGGTTTGCAAACTTAAACCTTTTCAGTTCAAATTATTGAACCCTCTTCTTTAATACATTATTTCATCTTTATTTGACTGATAGAATAAGGCTCAAACATGATAAGCGTTTTCCCGCTTATTAATAAACGAGGAATTAACTTAGTATTGTTTCATCTTTAGTTAAATAGTCATATTTAGTCAGTAAAAATATTAGAGAAAAAATAACCATTTGCCAAAATTTTACTACATTTGACGAATTTAAAATTTAATTTAGTTATAGTCAAAGGTCGTCCTGCATTTTATGCTTGAGCTGTATACTTTTTATTTGTTTTTATCCGTAAATTCATAACCTGACAATGCTGGCAGTGGGGCGTTCCATAAATATACTTACTGTGCAACAATTGTCAAATTAGACATGACTTCCATACATTTTATGTCAAAATTGAAACGTCAGAGTGTATAGTTGCACTTGGAGCGTAGGTTAGAAATTTACCAGTAACAGGAGTTTTAAAAAATAAAAGTCTGTGTGGATAAACCACAGATAAATGATTGAGTGAAATAAAATTTGAAATATTCGGTTTCCCTTTACTATTATTTAGTATAACTTAAATATTGTTTTAATTAAACGAGGTTTATTATAGCACTTTAGACAATTTTCAAGTTATATTCCTGCCATTTTATGATTCAGTATTTCTATATCAAAAAAAAAAAAGTTTCTTTAAAAAATTACTATTCAATAAAAATGTGATAAAATATGGTTAATGTTGCATATAAAATACGCTTTATTTGAAAAGCACATTCAATTGTTTTTTCTATGAACAGTGTCGCTTCTCTTATAATTTTATTGTTAATGAAACAAGGCGCCCTTATATTCTCTTTACGCCGTGTTTTGTTTGTATTACTTAAATGTCATATGTCATTCAATGAACACAGACAAAACATACGTAACTAATCCAAGCTTATACTTTATTTTTTAAAAAACGGTTTAGATTAGGTATTTTGGTGCAAATGGGATTAGAGAATGAAGTATTTTTATTTTTACATTCATCAGATACTACGACCACACGATCGTCGAAGTAAAAATAGTTTTCTAGCCAAGTCAGATGGAGGCTACGAAGAAAGCTACCTACACTGAAACGAACCATCTTAAAACAAGAGCATGTTACATTTTATAAATAATATATTAGCATGGCATGTATTACAAAGAACATACATTAACTTAAGATGAAAGTAAATGTTCGCTAAGATGGATATTTTATTGTTAAAACGGATCAGCTTTGACTGGTGCATAATCTAAGAATTCCAAGACTTTTGGACCGAAACAATTAGTCTTTTTCTGCTTAAATGTAAGGGAAAGCAACATTATCCAATACCGCGAAAAAAGAAAGAAAAACTGGCCAAGCGCGAGTCTGGCCTTGCTCTGTTAGGGTTCTGTAAAATCATTTATTTATTTTCGTCATAAATAATAAATATTTCCAACACTCACACCAATTAGCCTAGCCCCAAAGTAAGTACTGTACGGCTTGTGCTATGGGATGAAATTTTTTTATTTTTATTTATTTATTTTATTTTAGGAAGGTTTACAGCTATCAATCACTTATTAAATAAACAAAAAACAATATCTAAAAGCCAATTAAAAACCTCCACATATTAATAGTATATTATATAGAAATAGAGGAGCTCGATGGCGCAGGTGGTTAGCGCGTTCGGCTGCGATGCTTGAAGTTAAGCAACTTTCGCAGTGGCCGGTCATTGGATGGGTGACCAAAACATCTATCTCGAGTTCCTTCGTGCTTCGGAAGGCACGTTAAGCCGTTGGTCCCGGCTGCATCTGCAGTCGTTAGCACTCGCCAATCCGCACTGGGCCCGCGTGGTGGGTCATGGCCCAATCTCCCTATTCCATCCATAGGGAAGGTCTGTGCCCCAGCAGTGGGGACATTAATAGGCTGATGATGATGATGATAGAAATACATACTAAACATCCATGACTGGAGTATAAATGCTCGTATTCATCACATAACCATCTGCCCCCACCGGGATTCGAACCCGGGACGTCTCGAGTTGGCGACACCATGAAAAATACAAAGTTGCGCCTCCGTGGCCGAGTGGTTTGTACGCTGGCGTATAAACCACTCGGCCAAGGAGGTCGTCATAAAGTACATTATGAATCAGCGTTTTCAATATTTGTTGTTCAAATGCAGCATATTCAATTTATCAAAATCAAAATTTCACATTCTTAACTAGTTTCAATTATGAGAGTTCCCGTAACAAAAATAGTCTAAAATACTAAAATACATATATACTAAGTAGACGGACCCTTATGTCTTTGCTATTAAAAATAACAGAGTGATAGCAATAGAGTTCCATTCTATTCTATTTATTCCCTTTGCGTACGGAACCCTTAAAAAGTGAGATAATGCCAAAGAGAAAATAAATATCGGGTGATATTTCAAGTGAGAAGACAAATGGCGCAACTTCGTCTTTAATCAGATTCGTGTGATGCGAGCCCGCTACAGCCACAGGAATTTAGTGTTCTCTTTGACTTATGTAACCATGTCAAAGGGAGCGAAAGGAATCTTCAATTGAATTCCTTTTTCAAATTTGATTTTTGTGAGGTTCTTTGTAGCGTTGATGTCCGCTTAAACCTCCGTGGAGGTGTAAGTCACATATGTACAAATTGTATTTCGTTGATATATTTGAAGGTTCCTGGAGGCCTACTCTTTTTCAACGAAAAACCAAATTTCGATCAAATTTTGCACTTTCCTTACTCCGTTTCTTTTGAATTTCGAAAATTCGTTCGCCCGATAATAGTTTGACAATTAAATTCACCAAACCTACTCGAATTCACAAGAATTTCCAACGAAAAGTTGAATTTAACATAAAGCTGTTCGAAAATTTAGCCCTAAAATTGACGAAATGAAAAGTGTTACCTTTTCATTTTCGTCTTCAGAATTTTCTATAAATTAAATAACTACTTTAGTATTTCTTATCAAGGCTGCTTAGCGTGAGGATTTTTTTATTGCATATAAAATTTACTAATAAACCGATTTTTTTATTAATTATTGTTATTCCAATACTTCGTAGTATTAAACGACAAATTTCAACAAATTAGTCGGCAAACACAAACAAATTAGTCATAAAAGATTTTTAATGACATAAAAAATGTTGTCGTAATGTAATATTGTTTCCAAGTAAAGAACATAATCTTAAAAGTGGAGATACAAAGAACTCACAAACATGACTCATTCCATTCGTTCAAGAAAATTGTTTGTGATTTCGAACTTTATGTGCCTGTTCGAAAATGAAATAGAGTAGTCACTGGCGAAATATCGTTTAAAATTCGTTCATTGCCTAAATTTCGTTTCGGAGAAAGAGGGTAGAGCTCCTGATGTTATCTATATTCGTCAGTCAACTACACTAACATAATATAATACATCCTATTAGGAGGAAAAGAGCTTTACTGAGAAGTTATCAATGCGTAACTTTTAGATAACACAGTCAGCATAGTAAAAAATATGGTTTGACTCTTTTGTTTCTTTGTGTGTAATATCAAATATCCACGAATATATGAAATATGAATTAAATAAATAGGTACTCTACATTTTGCAGAAACAGGCTTTATATGATGAATGTATATGTCGAATGCTTTATTTATTTGCAATAACGATGCTTGCCGCTGAAATTGGGAAAACGATTAAATATTTTTAAAGCTTACCAAGTTTCATATTAAAATATATTTCTACTTTTTACCTACATATATTTATTTTGATATATATCATGCAAACATTGAAATAATTCGCAAGTTAATATTTCATTCACCATTGCAATAGTTGCTTCTTTTAATCACACAGTTAGATCAATCACAAACTTCTTTGAAGTAAACAATTAAATAAAATATAACTTACCAAACTTTACCAACACTGCTACCGATATTGGTTTCGTTTTTTCTTAACCTAATTATTTGAGAGCTTAATTAATTAGTAACGCATTGATATCACAGTTAGCTTCAAAAATCAATAAATTTTGAACCAATATTTATGTAAAAAAATATATAAACTCACATTCCTATTGATCTAAAATGGATCTATGTACCTACTTCATATTATTTGCTCTCAAACTTTTATTTGGTAAGCATAAATGTATAAGCATATGGAAAAGTTATTGGTCAAAATGGTCACTATAAATTTATTTATTAAGGCTGTTGATAGAGAAAACTGTATGTGGGACTTGAGTTAGGATAGGCCAATTTGACTGAATATTATTAATAAAATGAATTCACATACTCATTGCTTATATTAATGCATCAAATAAAGGATATAATTATGAAATAAAAAACCATAACAATTATTATTGACATTCTATACTCACTTCATCCAAACTAAAATGTCGCGTAATTGTGATGTCCATTTTGTATTAATAAAGAATCAGATTTTCCTCGAAATTATTTCTCAACGAACCGTGGCTCTAGGGCACGACCGCTCGCAGCGGTTTTCAATACGCAACTGACAAAGAAGACGGAATAGTAGTGACGGCTGACTTAACGCCGAATAAAGAGGAAGTGGTCCAATTTAAAAACATTCCCGGGGGAGTTGTTCAGGGGAAGTTTTTGGTGAAACTTTACACATATGCCTAATATATGAATGAGATTGATGTTGTAACTTGATTCAGATTAAAAAAATGCTGGTTTTAAGATGATATTAAAAATGAAAGAGGGCGTTTTTTATTGTTAAAATACAATAAGTAAATAAAAATTGTAGAGAAGAAAAAATGTACGACGACTTAGTCCATTACTATACTGTTGGCGGAAATTCAAACTCTTTTGTTGTTCACGCAAATCCTCCACCTCTCACGCAAGTCCACAAATCTCGGAGGACCAACTTAATTGAGATTTCCGAAGGTCCGATATTAATCAAGAAAAGATTTGATAAGTACTTTCAGAATCAACAAATATAACTCCTCAATTACAAACAGTACTTACACGAAAAACCGGATAGTTGCCCCACTTTTCGAAAATGTTCTACATTAAAAAATCTTTACCTAATCATAATAATGTAACATTTATATCAAAATATAGGGCTATAATCTTTACGTGAGCATATTTTTGTTAATATCATTATGAATGGATTAGGGTGAATTTTGTTTATTTGACCTCTTCAAAAAAGGGATAGCACTGTAGCGAGATAGCAGCCTAACGTAAAAAATGACCCAGAGGATTCTTGCCACATGTGTTAATATAAATATATCAATTTTATATTACATATTTCGTTGATTACTTTTAGTTTCTAGAGTGTTTAGGATTAAGGGACCAGGTTTAATGATAGCTATCGTGGGCGAAAACACAGTTCTTTTTGACATCGCAATTTTGTCCATGATTTTGTATATTCTTTATGTTTGTTTATGACTTTGTTTTATGAAATAATTTTTCCTTTCGGTTGTCAAGGGTGTTTTCCCGTTTTCAAGGGTCTGGCCTGTCCGCGTGGATTTTTTTCTAGTTATATCTTTCTAGATTTAAACATGCTTAAAAAATAAAAATTATAAGGGTGTTTTACTTTAATAATATAGAAAAATATATTATTAACCCGATCTAGTCACGGAAAGCTCTGTCCAATCTGCGTGGATATTTTTATTCCATTTTGAAATTATTTTAAGACTATTAGCTACTTAATCTCTATGTAGGAAAAGAAAGATTTTATTTGTTTGAATCGGTGATATTCATTGAAATATTATTCTTCCTGGTCCACAGTTTAGCCGTTATATTTATTTTCTCTTTGAAAAATTGTGATTTATGATTTAGTAAATATCATCACTTAGTAAGTAATTACCGAGATCTGACCTGTGAAGAATGAAGGGCGACACTTGAAGGCCTGCAGTATTTAGAATATTTTATAAAGAAATCCCAGTCGTTATACAATTATTTTAAGACTAACACTACATCTCATTTTATTTTGAGAAATTCTATCTGGTCTCACAGATTACACGCACAATGAAATTTTTACAGTTGATATCTGAAAACAAGTCGCTTCGCTATAGACTTGCACTAAGCTGTTAACTCTTTTATCTCGTGTAATCGTAATAATGAAGGAAATAATTATATACCTTTCGTTTCAAACGGTGAAAGTGGTCCTTTCCAAGTATCAGCAAACCGAACAAATAGAAAATGTAATTTGAAATGTAGATGGCACGACGTAGCGTTTCAGTTTTGGTTTCAATGTTTGCTTACCGAAGATCAAAGGGTATCATCATAGTATTGCGCGGAATTTGACGAAATTAATGAATTTCATCTTCAATTATGAATTGTTGTTTCAAATTCGAATGTTATATATCCTAAAATTTTTAAGACAAAGGTAATTATAACGAAATGTAGACATTTGGAATACGAGCATTGTTAAAATCAAGTAGTATTTTAAATGAAAAGGGTGGCGAACAAGCATATTGTAGAATTATGTAGATTTACGAACCGATGGCGTAGCTTCTAGACATTCATGAATGCTTGTAACAACCTAAACTGAATCAATGATTTTGATTATGTTTATAATTATGATTTTCTGTACCACCTGATGGTAAGCGGCCACCAATATCAATAGACACTTGCGACAGAAAAAATATCACTCGCGCCGTTGCTTACCCTGACCCAATCCCCTACCTCGTGGAAGCCCTAGAATCTTACTCACTGACAGAAACACAACACCACTAAAAGGTAGTGTTATTTTTCTGTGTTCTTCTGTAAGGTAGAGGTTACACCCCCAAGCGAGCGCTCCAATTCAAGCGGGAAACCCGCTATGCCCTACCCTCTCTGAAATTTAGTTTTATTTGTGATAATGTAATTAATTCACAGCGGTATTATTATAACAACAATACATGATACTCCGTCCACCTGTTACCGTTCTCGAGATCTCACAATAATGACTTAGGCCCGTATTAATAGATCGCTGTTTTCATACAAAACAGCATCTCAAGATCGCACTCAAGATCGCTCTTAAAGTTGAGAGCGATTTATTAATACGGTCTAAGTTTAATATATTTCCCCGCAGTACAGATGAATCTATACTACGTAGTATCATGAGCTGTCAACGTACGTCTACGCGAATGACGGCTGTATCCGTCTATACATGGTTTACACAGATGAACGGACGGACTGACGGGCAAAAGACAAGGTCCTTTGTTACCCTTTGAGTATCCTAAAAACATAAAATAAAACAAATGGGAAAGAATAATACTGAAGCTATTCACTTTTCTTCGACTCGACGACCTCCGTGGCCGAGTGGTTTGTACGCCGGGTTTCATGGTGTCGCCGACTCGAGAGGTCTCGGGTTCGAATCCCGGTGGGTGCAGATGTTTGTGTGATGAATACGAGCATTTGTACTCCAGTCATGGATGTTTAATATCTATTTCTATATAAATATACTTATATGTGTACAGTATATGTATTCTATCCGTTACCCTAGCATCCCATAACACAAGCCTTATAGTGCTTAAATTGGGGGTAGGCTAATTGGTGTGAGTGTTGGAAATATTTATTTATTATTTTTTTTGTGAAATAAACGCATGAAAACTATACTCTAGTGATTTTTTATCAAACTTATTTTATTTCCAAAACTTAAATTGTGATAAAAAGAGTGTCTATTTTTCCATGCATCGGAAACTCATATAAAGCTTGTTTGCGTTCGCCCAGTTACATAGTAATTAAATTTAGTTAACAGTACCCTGCATATAGGACACGAGCACTGAACCGAAATGGAGCGTTTGCAACACACCCTGTTACCGATATCGATTTAGCATTTTCTCCCCGCAATTAACAGTTTAATGAATTACAACTTCATCAATGAAGGCACAATATTTACATAAATTAATAATTGATAAACCAGTAAAAAAAAAAATATGAAAATTTGTTAAATATCCCGTACACTTCATTCAGAACATTGTTATCACACATTACACGTAAACCTAACAACTAAGGTTGACAAGTAAAGTTATTTACCAATGCTTAGTCTACGCGAAGCCAGATGTTCTACCCACGCATTTCTCTGGAGTAACGCCCACATAAATTGTATATCAATACATTCGTTACAAGACAGAGTCAGTAAATACCATACGAAACCTACCTGTTGATGGTATCTTCTTTTTACACCACAATAAAACACACGTACTTCCTTTACAACTCGTATCAATCCACTTAATGGAATTAAGTTTCCCAATAACTCAAGATTAGTGATGAATAAACAGAAAATTAGTATATCGTCTATACACTATTGAACTACTAAGGAAAATAACTTCTAAAACAAAAAAGAAACTACTTTTAAACTGACTTGGGCACAGCTATAAAACCATAGCAAAATGGTTCCAGCATATTATTAAAGCTTGACAGATTTTTCGCACGAAACAATACGTACACAACATTTAGTCCTTGCCGATACGCATGCGCTGAGTCTAGGCGCATGCCTGAATTTGACATCAATATGACACCGTCGCGACAGAAGGTCAGTATTCAATGGATGAAGGTGAAATTTCATGAATGAAATGAGGTAAATGAAAGCTACATTTGAATTGAGAGTCTTGTCGAACAAGCATTACAATATCGTAGAGTCAATCTAGGCACATGTCTTTTGCCAATAAAAATGATCAGGATTTTGTCAAGTCCGTTCAATTTGACATATTAAACAATGGTAAAATAAAGACATATTCACACTCACTTAAGTGTCTACCTACTTTTATAAGCTTTTATACATGTATTTATTTCTGCTTACGATTTGGGTAAAATTAATTTCATTAATGAATATTGTTCATGTCAAAAATACAAATTTCGTAAATAACTTTTAGAGGTACTCGACGAATATAAAAACTTGATACCGAGATGCGGTTTTAACCAAAAAATCATATAAGTACAGTTTACCATATAAATTAATTAACTAAAACAAGTTTTCTCAAAGAGGACATCTAGCAGCTGATAAAAAGATTACGCTTGACAGTGGCAACACTGGTCGTCAGTGCTTTTTGCTTTTCCAGGTAGTAGATGCTCTGAGCTGCTTCAACTCTAGCTTGATAGATGGCGTTTTTCGCAGAAAGTATTTAAAATTAACCTATATTAAGAATAAAAAACATGAAAACTTAGAAACCTGTGACAAATATTAAGTTTTAATACACATTAATATAATTTAAAAATTTCGTATTAAAATCAAAACAAAATAAATATTTATTGACCAACAACTTTTAATAAATCAACTTGAACAATATATGTATATTTCCATTTTATTTAAATCACTAAACGAATGACTCTACTCCATGTAATAATCCCCTTGCCTAAATCTAAAAGCTTCCGTTTCATATAAATCATCTTGGCTTAAGTCTCGAGGTTGAAATCTCGTACGATTAGTAGTGAAATGGTGCAAGGTCTTGGAAGAGACTGTGACTTATTTGTTGCTATAACAGCTGGTTTCAACTTAAGATTTATGTTGCCATGGACTGAGTCATCTTGTGAAATTTTGGAGAAGACAAGA